CAATGCAGTTTTCATACCACGAAAATCGAATGGGAAAGATATCGAAAGAGCTAAATTCGGATTTTATTTACTGGGAGAACTCCACGTTTTTTTTCTCCATCTTTTATAGATTTTTATTAGTATTTGGGTTAATTTCTTTTTGGTGGTTTAAAGGTTTAATTTTTTTTAAAATGATTAATTTTTTATATTTAATTAAATTTTTATATTGAAAAGTTAAATCAGTTAATTTTTTAACTAAAAATGTATTAATTAAATGATTTATCTAATTTCAATCATTAAGATTAATGTTTTAGGGTTGTCAGTGTTACATGAGTTTTTAAAATTTGGGTAAACTACTTGAATGACAATCTAACTATGGAGTTGGTGTCAAAATGACCACTATTTTTAAAATAGAGTCAATATGACCACTTAACTAATTAAATGGGTACAATATAGTCATTTGCCTTTAATGTTTAACAGAAGTGTTTACGTGATGTTAACAAAATTGGTATAACTACATATTAGATCCTCAATTCTTGTAAATTCTATTAATTTGATCATAATTTTAATTTAATTCAATAAATTTAATCTTCTAATTCGAACTCAGGACCTAGGAAACACAAGCATGCACACATAACCATATGATTAGATGATTAAATTTATTGAATAAAATTAAAATTATGATCAATTTGATAGAATTTATAAGTATTGAAGACCAAATACGTAATTATATTAATTTTTTTAATTGTCACATAAGCACTTCCGTTAATGTTAACAAAAGGTGGCTATATTGAACCCAATGAATTAGCTAAGTGGTCATATTGACTCAATTTTAGAAATAGTATTCATTTCGACACCCACCCCATAGTTAGGTGATCAGTCGAGTAATTTACCCTTAAAATAAATAAAAATAATATTCAAAGATATTAATATATAAAAATCATGCAAATACTGAAATAAATTCAATAATCAAAATATAATGTTCATACAATAGACGTAGTGTAATATTGCCAAAAAAGTCATTTAAAGAAACATAAAGTGTTATAGAGACCTTGTGATTCATGTATTAATGTGAAAGCAAACATATGAGGACTCACTTGTACGAGTATGATATTTTGTAAAATAAAATAAATATAAAAGAAAAATCAATATATAATTACATACCATATTTTGAATGAACTAAAAAAAATTAATAATATGCAGCATGTCAGTTGGCAAAATAGATGTGGTCAACAACATTTCTTTCTATTCCTACATGAAGACGAGTAAGGAACACATAAGGAAATTGGTGGTGCAAAAAATCAATATATAATTACATACCACGTTTTCAATGAACCACAAAAGTAATAATATGCGACTACGTTGATAGTTAGTTTATTTAGTTATTATTTTACCTTTAAATTCTTTCTCAGTTGTTAATTTTCGTGATTGATTTGTTTGTTTTAATTCATTTTCTATGTATGACATTAGATTTTAAAAATTACATTTAAAGGATAAAATTCTGCAACTTTTTTTTATTTTCGAAATCAAAACTGAATCAATGGGCAAGACTCAGAGCATGACACACCTGACGAGACGTTGAGTCATCACCTTCCAGAAGATCCAGTCAGTGCTTATAAAAGAACAAATGGATTTTCTACGTTTTTGAAATTCGAATTCAAGTTAATCTCATGTTTTTAAGATTTTAGTTTAAATATTTAAAAATTATCTTTAGGATTATCTTTTGTTTTTAAGGAATTATGTTTTCCTTGTTTTTAAAATTTTTGAAGGTTATAAATACTCTCTCAGGGTAAGCCTAAAAATACATTCAGAATTCATTATTCTTCTTTGTTTTGGATTTTATGAAAGTTTTTTTTTCTTTTTCAAAATTTTTTTATTTTTATTTTTAAAATGCTAAGTATGATTGTTATACTTAGCTAATTTCTCCATAAACTAAGGGCAAAAGCGATGACTCAATTCCTATTGTAAAGATTGAAAATTAGTTAAAATACCTTCGGGTTATTTTCTCAATTTTCTGAAGAAATATGATAGGTAATCGACCTATCCTTTAAAACTAAAAGGCTTTTAAATCAAAAAAGCTCGTTGGTTTGGATTTTGTTCTGGTTTAAAGTTGGGAGGAAAAATCGGCTGGTAGCAAGTTCGACTTTCTGTGAACACACTTAGCAGTGGTCTGATAAGGAAAATTGAGATCGAACTCGATTCTCATTGAGACAACATAATCCTAGTTGGGTTTCTCCAAAGCTTTTAAAACTGAGTTAGTGCTAACGATGATTGTAACATCCCAAATCAGGGTCAGTGACTAAATTGCAAATTTTAAAAACTATGTGCTCAATTTCTAAATAAGTTAAAAGTTCATGGATTTAATTGAAGAAAGTTGATGTTGGATTTAATGGTAAAGTTTGGAAATAACAAGGGTATTATGGTCTTTTCTAAGAGAAGATTTTTATTCTCTTTTAAGGGAATATAAAAACGCGGGAAAAGAGATAATTTCTTCAGTCTTCTTCTTCCTCCTCTCCACCGTGAAGCCTTGTATAAGGTAAGTGGGTCTTCAATTGGTTAATTCTTTCGTTTTAAAGCTTGTTTTGATTCTTGGGATGTTAAGAAAGATTAAGGAAAGCTTTAGGTGGCTTAAAACTCAAAGATTAGCAAGTTATGAGAAATTAAGAAAAATGAGTTTTTAAGTGAATTTTTGAAATATGAGTTAATAGATTTTGAGTTTAAAGAAGTGATTATGGAGTAGAAATGAGTTTAAGTATGTGTATGAAAGTTAGGAATATTAAAGGGAGTGAAGTATGAAGTGTTGAGCTGAAAATGAAGGGATTTTCGAGTTAAAAATATGATTTTTGGGCAAGGGGAATCGGTACCCATTCAAGGGGAACCGATACCCCTTCAAACGAACAAAAATTTCTAGAATGTCATGAGGGAATCGATACCCCCATAGTAGGGAACCGATTCCCCCTAAAGGAAAAATGTGAATATTGGTTTAATAAGTTCGTTTAAGTTGCTAGTATCCAATTACAAGGTGTAGGTATCTGATGATTGCCTCAAAATGTACATTTATGTAGATTCTGCGCGTAAAGCAGTTCCAGAACATTTGACAAGTAAGATCGATCAAGGGAAAGATAAGAGATTGGAATTTACTAGTGAGGCCAAGGTGAGTGCATACTAGTGATATGTAGTGTTTAATGGAAATAAGACTTGCGATGAGTCTATTTCCTAGAGTAATATGCATGAAGTCATGGACATGATTATGTGTTGTTATAATTATATGTGATTATCTGTATTACATTGATTGTATGTATGCATGACTAAAGATAATGATATGCTTTGTATATGTTATGTGATTATGAATAGGTAGAAAGGAAACAAATAATGATATAAGAATCTATTATAAGATATATGATATGAAAATATGATAGTGAGCTATGTGAAAGAACTATGAGATATATGAGTTATATAGAAAATATATACGAACAAGATATGACATCTATGTTTATATGAAACAATGCAAGGTGATATGAGGTATGTGAGATATGAATATAAAATCATTTGAGAAGTGAAAAGAATTACATGAAAATAGACTAAGTGATTACATGTATATGTGAAAGAAGCTATGAGCTTATATGAACATGTGATATGATATGGAATACATGGTTACACATACATATGGTATGTGACAGAAGAGAAATGACAAGTAATGTGAACTGTTAAATGACAATGCCCATGTTATGTGTCATGAGAGCTAGGGGTATAGTTGGCATGCCAAGAGTCGAGGGTCTATGTGGTCCTTCGGGACATATATGTATTCTTTGGAACATGTGTGAAGTCTGGTGAGACACATACCTGATCCCTAGTATATGTATATGATTCTTAAGGAATGATATGTGGTCCTTATGGACATTATTATATGGCACTACGGTGCAATTCTACGCGGCACTACGGTGCAATTCTATGTGGCACTTCGGTGCATTTATATGAGTTGTGGTGACAGCATTAGTGCACAACCTCCATAAACTCACATATCTATAGTTCTCACATATGTACATGGGCTAATCAAGAGATATAAACAAATATATGTTAGTGATATGATAAATGTTATAGAAATGATATGATGGTGTGTGTGTATAGTGTTTGATTGAAAAGGCTAAGCATAAAAGTATGTGAGTACATGATGAACTGTTAATGATGAGTTATGTGTATGTATGTATTTACTGTAATTAATCTGATATGACTTTATATGATACGAGGAAATCATGTAATTTGGTATAACATGATAGAACATAACATGCATGTATTGATATATGTTATAGAGTGCATTATAAGTTTTTATGCCTCACTAAGTCTTCGACTTAGCGTGTGATTGTTTCACACGTAGGGTACAGAAGCAAGAAGAGAAGAGAAGAAGAGTAATACATGTCAGCATCTCCCTTACAAGATTTCAGATCAGAAAATAGATGAGTTAAATGATTTTTGTTATTTTGAATATAGTTGGCATGTACTAATTGATTGAGTTAAATATGCTCTGATCGATTTTGGTTATTGTGGTCAAATTACGTAACTAAACTGCTTTTACTCTAAGGAAAGTTTTAAATTTTCTTTGAATTTTGTCAAGAGTCAAAGTTTGAAAAGTCAATGTGACACATCGGACTCGTATCCGGGTCGGGTATCGGTTGGGGGTGTTACAATGATAGTCGTGGTTAGTCCACATAAAGACTGAAATTCAAAGATAGCTTTTAGATTTTCGGTTTACAAGAGAGAAAAACAAGTTACAGGGGTTAGGCCCTGTAGACTATAACCGATAGATATCCGAAGTGAAAATCTATTCTAATGATCAATTTGAATTGAGGCAAAAATTGAAGTTTGAGGCTGTTTTTCACTATAAGTTTTCTTCATCTCAATTTATTTTTTTAATTAATTAATTTATTTATCTTATCTTTATCTCGAATTATTATTATTTTTTAAACAATTTAAAACCTCTTTTATTCTCTTATCCCTATCTTTTTCTCACTTTTATTCAAATCCCTATGTGAAGATCAGATAAAAAAGAAAACAAAAGGAAATAGGTGGTTGTAAGAGAGCATGGAGAAGAGCAAAATTATGATATTTGGTGGCAGTGGGTACCTTGGCAAATACATGGTGAAGGCAAGCGTTTCCTTGGGTCATCCCACCTTCGTTTACACACGCCCTCTCAACTCTTCTACTTCCAAGTCTCTTCTCCTCAAGGAATTTCAATCCATGGGAGTCACCATCTTCTATGTATCATTTTCTCCCTAATTTGAATTTATCATCACAACTTGGCATAAATTTACATATTTATTGATTTGGTTTATGCTGTAACCACACAGGGGGAGCTTGATGAGCATGAAAAGCTTGTTTCAGTGCTTAAACAGGTTGAGGTTGTCATTTCCACTCTACCAGTGCCACAACATCTCAACCAACTCAAAATAATAACTGCCATCAAAGACGCTGGTACAATCAAGGTCACCGCTCAATCAAACCCAAGTGCTGAAGCTGTTTATGTTTTGGATATAACTGATCATTTTAAAGTGTGTTGAATTGCAGAGGTTCGTGCCATCAGAATATGGAAATGAAGTATATAGATCAATAAATGCACTTCCGCCATTTGAAGCTATACTTGGGAACAAAAGGAAGATCAGAAGGGCAGCCGAAGAAGCTGGTCTCTCATTCACTTTCGTTGCTGGAAATTCGTTTGCAGCCTATTTTGTTGACTACATTCTCCATCCTCATCAGAATCCTTCTAAAGTTGTGGTTTATGGAACTGGTGAAGCCAAGGGTAGACTAGCAATAATTCATGTCATGTTCGTTAGTTTCTACTGCTTAATTCATTACAACATTTAATTAACTTGAACATGCATGCATTCAGTTGTATTCAACTACGAGGAAGATGTTGCAGCCTATACCGTAAAAGCAGCGACAGATCCGAGGGCCGCCAATCGCGTAATCATCTATAGACCGCCGGGGAATATTGCTTCCCAGTTGGAACTGATATCGGAATGGGAGAAAAAGACTGGTCGGACCTTGAAAAGAGCACATGTTCCTGAGGAGGAACTTGTAGAGTTGTCTGAGAGTAAGCCAGCCGTTTCATTTCGTTTCATCTCATATATGTAAAATGTAAATAATGAATTAATTTTATGTTTGTAGCCTTACCTTTCCCGGACAACATTCCGGTGTCGGTTTTACACAGCATATTCGCAAAAGGAGATCAAATGAGGTATGAGTTGACGGAAGAAGATCTAGAGGCATCCAAGCTCTATCCTGACTATAATTATACTTCCATTGATAAGTATCTTGATAAGTGCCTGGTTGATCCTCCTAAACCTAAATTAGCTGCTTTCGCCTGATATATCTTAGCTTCTGAAACATAATTAATTTCATGTAATAATACTTTATTTTTTTTTCTGTATTAATCAGTGTATCTCATTCCCCACTTGGCTAAAGCATTGTAATAAAGTCTTCCATAACTTGGGTTGCCAAGTTTCTAAGTATGGTCAATTTACATTTTATAGCTTTACAACCACTTTATAGCTCTTGGGCTCACCATCATTCACAAAAAGTAGACTCTCTTCGATTTAAATCATTTTAGATTTGGATATCATTCCAGTTCATCAAGGCAGCCATTTCATCATCTTGCAAGGCAAGCTTAATTGGGAACTCGTCGGCTTCTTGCAACAATATATATATATATTTATATATTTGCAACCTTTTGAAATGACCATCCAACTCAGTTGGTAAAGCACAAGGTTTTAACCTTGAGGTCATAGAATCCGAGTCCCATGGAGGGCATTTTATAATTCGGAGGTCTCTTACGGAAGCTACTCTCAACCTGGTGTTGGGGGCAGCCTACTATCTTACCTCCCCTTACCCCATACATATGGGAAAAAGGGACATCCATTTATATATTTGCAACCTTTGACACAAATTCCTGAGTTTGTCTGTGTCTCCTAGTGTTCCTAGTGTATATATGTTTAAAGGAACTTGTAATCTTCTTCCAAGATCCTTGATTTTTGTCAAGTTTATTCATTTTAAATAAGTAGTAGCACTAGTGGATATATATCCATAAAGGTGGTAACAAGATCCAGTTTTACATTAGTTGATCCATGATCGACTTGTCTTCAGACATGCCATTCATTGATAACATACTCCTTTATGCCTGCATCCTCGGCTCTGTATCTCTTCTCCGGCGTGTCCATATGCATTTTGCACTTTTCTCATTGAGAAACATGTCAAACAGCTTATTGACACGTGACTCAAGAGATAGCCTCAAACCGTCTTGTTATCCTTCTTGAACTTCTCGAAGGATGCTTTAGCAGAGGAGGCATCTTAAATAGCTACAAGCGCATCAACAACGTTTTGAGGATGGAAGAACAAGCTGTAGCTGCAGCTTCAACAAGATATAGTCAATATCGTAATTCCTCGAAGACGACAAGGATACGTTAGGACCACCTCTGGGCAGCTTCAACAAGATATAGTCAAGATCGTAATTCCTCGAAGAAGACGAGGATACGTTAGGACCACCTCTGGTAGTTGGACCATCGAATGCATCGAGCTTTGATAGATTCAAGACAAACTTGGTCACTAGATTTGATATTTTGTAGCATATATATCAATTCGTGACCCAATGAACGAATGATTTAGATATCAATACGTGTCATTCGGCTTGCTTTAAAAGTGTTAGGTAATGATTGTGCATGTTTCAAACGTGTTATAATGATATTATAATCGTGCCATTGAAGTCGTGTTTATTAATCATCTTCAAGCTTGAAGATTCATATTCATACGAAAAAGGATGCAATTTTATTCCACAGATAGAAATTCAATGATACAACATGCCAATTACAGGACATAAATTAGATAAACGGGAAACTAACTAGCAAACACCAGAGACCCTCCCCTTCACAACCCTTCAACTAACTAGACCGATGCAGATGATACAAACCACATATCGTGTTTATCCGTATTGAACAGTCCCTACATTCCGGTGAGCCGCTACGGCAACAGCTGCACCAAACTGGGTTTGTGCCTGCAAGAGCTTTGCATCAATGGGTAGTCTTTGCTCTGTCTTCTCTTGAGTTCGGTGATAGGGGTTGCTGTTCTTATCGAAAGCTGTTCCCGGGGCAGGTTTTCCCACCGTGCTAAACTGTGGTTGCGATTTGGCTTGTGGATTCTTGTCTGTCTGTATTCCTGATTTCTCTTGATTTATGAGGAAACAATGTGGGGAGAAATTCTGTGGAGTAAGGACTGCGTTTCTGTAGAAGTTCTTAGCTTCGTTACCGTCTTTAAAGTTTTTCCCATCACCGTACGGCACGACCGATCCAACAACTCTCCCAGGCTTCGCTGTACAAAAAGGAGAATGAACTCCTTGATTAAATGGTGAAACAACAAAAGGAAACCGAGTAATAGCATACAAAAATCACTCATTAATACCTGATGGCACCCTGGGAGGAGGGCGTGTTGGCCTTGGACCGGTAATCATATTTGTTACTTTTTTGAAATCAGCTTCTGTATCTTTTCGGTTCTCACACGAAACCGAAGTTGACTGTGTATTTGGAGGGACAGAATCCGAGTGAACAGTAGACCTACAATAAACAGGATAAAAGTTGTAAAATTGCATCACCCAGAGGGGCAGAAAGGGTGCTATTTTCTTTCCGGTCCATGTCATTCAACCGGAGAAACTGAGTAGTCGGGAACATGTAATACCTTGGGAGGGACACATGCTTCCTCTCTGGTGGGAAAATTGGCGCACTTTTACCACCGTTTTCCTCAAGATACGCGAACTGCTTTTTGAATTGACAGACAGGGCTGTAAATAAAAAGTTTATGTTATAATCGAGTGGATTAAGATAAAAAAAAGAAATACAAGATACAAAGATTAATATTTATGGTTAATGTATTGCAAAATTAGACAGTATTCAAACCTAGGATAAAGAAAATTGGCTCCTTCATGTCCATTTAGATAGTCTTTGAGCAGTTGAGGATGATATTCTAGTGCCTCCCTGTAAATTAATTCCCTAATGTCCTCCTTTGTCACCCGTCGCCTCTCAAACTCGAACTCTATTTTTGAGATTGGTTGACAAGAAGGTTCCCTCTCGATTTTAGCCAAGCCTTTGAAGTAAGGATCGGCTAAAGCCTATAAAATTAATACAGAAAGTTTCAGTGTGATGAAATGAAATGAAATGAAAAGGAAGTTCTGTTTACTATTGACCGGGAAAAAGATAAGATAAACCCACCTCCTCAGCAGTTGGTCTGTCCTTGGGATCAAATGCTAACAGCTTCTGCAATAACCGTACAGCTAATGGATCTGCATTTGGAAATTTTTGTGAAAACAGCACAGGACGTTTTTTCCGCATTTCAGACAAGTATTTTCTCGCTTTGTCATTTCGAACCTGCACTTATGTGAACCGAAATCACCAATTTGCACTAAAACAAGCACACATGAACACAACAAAAAGGAGAAAAAGCAGGATGTCGTACCCCGGAAATTGTTTCTGGTGAAGGTGTCCCTACAAGATCAGTTATCAATTCCAACTGATGAACGACACTTTTTCCAGGAAATAGGGGCTTCCCGATCAATACCTCGGCAAAGATACAGCCAATGCCCCAAATATCAATAGCTGGTGTGTACTGCAAAGAGTCGCCGACAAAAAAATTAACTTAAATAATTAAAATTTAAAATCCGCATACACATAAAGGCAATGCAGAGAAACAGACATAACAAGACACAATTACCTGAACGACATATATTACAATTTCCAGGAGAGTTCATATAACCCTCCCTGAACAACAATTATTTTAATCCAGGCATTACTGCTTACTAAAATGCACTCAAGTATTCTTTATAGATATAAGAAAACAACCTGATTTCTAAGTGAGTCATGAGTCATAACCTAAAAGAGATATGGTATCTCGATGATTGAACTTGTAAGTGAACTAGAAGATGCTAATATTAAACTAACAGCCACACCAGATGGAAAAGCCCTACCTTGGAAAAGAAAGATCCACAAAGCTCCGGAGCCCTATACCATCGTGTAGCAACATAATCCTGCAAGGGGAATCAGAATATAATATATACGCATAAATACATATGAATATGCACATCCGCTCTTCTTTAAGAAGAAGAAAAAATGATGGCATGAAAAAAAGAAAAGAACTGCATACCGTCCAGAAGACTGCCGTTGGGGTGTCACTAAAAGCAACTCTTGCTAGCCCAAAGTCACAAACTTTAAGCTTGCAATTTGCATTAGCCAGAATATTCTTTGGTTTAAGGTCACGATGGTACACATTGGCTGAAACCAATAACTTAGATATCAGTATAAATTTGAATTTACTTCAAGCACTCTACCACAATCAATATAAAATCTAGTGATTATCAAGCCAAAAGCAATTTACCCGTATGCATATATTTCATTGCACGGAGCATTTGGTAAAGGAAAAACTGGTGATGTTCTCGCGTTAAGTCATCATTTGCTTTGATGACTTGGTGAAGATCTGACTCCATGAGCTCAAAAACTACAAATAAGTCTTTGAACTCCCTCTTCGATGGTGGCAACATTATATGCTTAATTTCAACTATGTCCGGATGTCTAAGAAGTCTAAGCAGCTTTACTTCACGCAAAATCCTAATTGCATCGGACATGTGCTCGAATACATCCTTTATTTTCTTTATGGCCACTTTCTCCCCGGTATGTGTGTCGAGCGCTGCGCAAACTACTCCATAGCTTCCCTTACCAATGACTTCAAGAATTTTATACCTGTTAGCATCCCCGTATTCAGTAAAAAAGTCCATCTCTTTTAGCTCCTGAAAAAACAAACGAGAAACTAGATCAGAACCAGGCATGATTTGATCATAAGTCAATTGATTATCCATAGATTTGAGAAACAAAAATGTAGCAGATTGAAAACAATCCAACCATATCGGTATCCAATCTCTATCATACTATAAAAGAAGCAACAAGGTGCTTATAGGAAGCTGAAACAGTGGAAACAGAATAATATTCAATGATCACTTCCAACATTAAGCACTCCATGTAATGCAATGAAATCCAACATTCTGATAACCATGGTCATCCATATAAAACACCATTAAAGCTACAAATGCATAACCAAATTTTAACATCTTAGAAACTTTTAAGTTGGTTGAATAACCTGAAATTTAAGTACAAATCAAGGGTCCTTGTTCCCTTCTTTTTACTACCGGGTTCTTCATTACAGAGAAAATGTGAACTCAAATCTGAGCTTCTCTAAGCTCCCTTCAGTTCCAAACCTATGTCTGTTCAATCTCAGAGAATATTAAAGCCCAAAACCTAATATTTAAAAAAGGAAATTCTCAATTTATTTCTTTTCACAACACATTCTCACCAACAAAACAAGCAAAAAAAAAAAAACTCAACCAGACCTTACTTTCTGCAAAATAAATTATAAAACTTTGTTA